CAATACTTGTTTGGATGATATCGTAGACCTTCTGTTCGCATATAATCTTATTGTAGTCCTCTCTGTCCACCACTCTCTCCACCCAATTCTTGCGGATCCGATCACCTCTTCGTTCCGGATATAACTCTAGCTCTTCGGGTGATAAATTCGTGTCCACGAGTGTCTGTACATCACCGGCGGCACCAGTCTTGTTGCCATCACTGCTGTTGCCACCAGTCTTTGTGTCACCACTGGATCTCTTGTCTGAAGCTGAAGGTGTGGTCATATTATCCTATGTTTCACTCATGAGTTCAATGCAATTGCGGTCAATGTTTGTGTTGTTTTCAAATGTAAACACAATTCAAAGCAAAGCATGTGTTTGTGTGACACGTGTGTGAATGCCATCTATTAATGCATTCTTACATCACTTCATGTCACAGAATATTCGTTCAGAATTTTTAAACTTTTTTATTGATAGGCTTTATTAAAAATGATAGAACTATGACATACTTACCATGGTCATTGCATCAAATTCATTTTATTATTAAACATAAATCTCTCTCTCTCTCTCTCTCTCTGACCAACATCTCAGACCTTTTGCTTTGAACTCAAATTACAGCATATTATGAATGCATTCCTGATATTCTATACNGCGTTCATGTGAATTAACACAACTGAATGAATGCATGAAAAAGAGACATTCAAACGAAAATGCTAAATGAGCTGAGACTTTGTGGGGCGAAATGATTTTTTATAGTATTTTATGTTAATAACGCCCGTCAGATAAAAGTCAACACCTTTGAGTAGATGTGCTTATCATTCGGTGCCACCATTCAAGCCATACCACTATTAGGGACAATACACCACGAGTTTAACAAAAAGTGTTGTCCCACTCACTGATAGCGGGCATTGAATGAGAGATAAAATACAATCTTTATATTACTGTTAATTGCACTCTCTTTCTATACCCTAAATGATAGGCGAGTTTTGAATTTCAAATATTAATAATATATTCTCTACGAAAAAACAACTTTAAACCCAAAGTTTGAATTATGTTTTTGGTATTTTTAATAATGTGTATGAAATAGTATACTAGATAATATGATATTTGATAACTTATTCTATTCACTGAAATACTATAATAAACAGAATTTTTCAAATATATATCCTTTTATTAATACTTATAAATAGTTTTTATAATTCTGAACCCATTTATAGAAACACTATTCATTGGTTATGTAAATAAATATTCAATTTCTAGAATATTAAATGAAAGTTCATTAAAAAAAATTAGATTTTTGTTTATATAATCTATTGCGAAACCTATGAATGGGTGATTTGTCTAAAGATTTTACAGTTAGGCTTTTAAAAGATTTTATAGTTTAATAGATTATAAATAATGAAATTTAAATGTTTTGCAAATTTAATGCCTGATTTGCAATTCAAATGAATGACAAAAAATCAAATACAAATAATTTTTTTGATTTTCCAGCTTATTATTAATATAATTCCTAAACAAACATAACATTTCTGTAAAAATGAGGACAAATGAAAAGCGAAACTAATTTTCAACATTCATTTCGCACATCAAATACTCTTTTGAGGAATCGTTTGTGAGATTAATACACTTTTTTCGTATATTATAATATTTATAATAACAATAATTTTTACATAAAAATCTACTAAATAATAGTCTCACAAAAATAGTGAACAAAATGATACTTAAACTTAAAGGCGTGCAATCAAACCATTGTCTAAATGCCTCCCTTTTATGTAAAATTATGCTTAAAAGTAATGAGTTATGAAAATCCATTACTCATTATAAATGAAACACGATTTGCAATCAGTCAACGCATATAATAATCAATTTTATGACCAAATGTGAGCTCAGATTTGTTTCTAAAGGAGATTTCGTATTCACTTTTCACCTAAAATATGGTTTTCAACAAACAGTTCATTTAAAATTCAATTCGGAATTTAAATATAAAATATAATTTAATTAATGATAATTTGTTATCCATTTATTATGAGTATTAATCTCATGATTAGCGCCACGAAAATGAGTATTAATTTTGTTGAACAACACCTGAATTTTAAAATACTTTTTGCAAAACTTATTCTGTTTTATGATTAGAAAATGATTTCATTCTTGTGAGTCTCTCATTTGAATATAATTAATGTATAGAATATCAGGAATGCATTCATAATATGCTGTAATTTGAGTTCAAAGCAAAAGGTCTGAGATGTTGGTCAGAGAGAGAGAGAGAGAGAGAGATTTATGTTTAATAATAAAATGAATTTGATGCAATGACCATGGTAAGTATGTCATAGTTCTATCATTTTTAATAAAGCCTATCAATAAAAAAGTTTAAAAATTCTGAACGAATATTCTGTGGCATGAAGTGATGTAAGAATGCATTAATAGATGGCATTCACACACGTGTCACACAAACACATGCTTTGCTTTGAATTGTGTTTACATTTGAAAACAACACAAACATTGACCGCAATTGCATTGAAGCGGTCATACATTCACTCATTAACACCACAACTCATGAGTGAAACATAGGATAATATGACCACACCTTCAGACAAGAGATCCAGTGGTGACACAAAGACTGGTGGCAACAGCAGTGATGGCAACAAGACTGGTGCCGCCGGTGATGTACAGACACTCGTGGACACGAGTTTATCACCCGAAGAGCTGGAGTTATATCCGGAACGAAGAGGTGATCGGATCCGCAAGAATTGGGTGGAGAGAGTGGTGGACAGAGAGGACTACAATAAGATTATATGCGAACAGAAGGTCTACGATATCATCCAAACAAGTATTGNACCCGAAGAGCTGGAGTTATATCCGGAACGAAGAGGTGATCGGATCCGCAAGAATTGGGTGGAGAGAGTGGTGGACAGAGAGGACTACAATAAGATTATATGCGAACAGAAGGTCTACGATATCATCCAAACAAGTATTGAATGCAAAGATATATCCGTTTGTTTGACACCAATGTATAACTGGTTTTATGTTTTGTCTCCTAATCTATGCAACGATTGGATCCGATAATGGATCCGATTGTCTGGACTTTAGGTCCGTTAGTAAAGCTGATGATGAGTGCACTTAAATCTCACGGATGGTTAGTACCAGTCATTGGATTCACNTTTATGTTTTGTCTCCTAATCTATGCAACGATTGGATCCGATAATGGATCCGATTGTCTGGACTTTAGGTCCGTTAGTAAAGCTGATGATGAGTGCACTTAAATCTCACGGATGGTTAGTACCAGTCATTGGATTCACTCGTCAATAGTAATTGTCTTTAAATTGTTTTTTATGTCCAATAGTGAGGTCGATATCCGAAGACACATATCGTGCGAATGCTGTTCATCTGAAGTGACCGGTAATGACATTATCATCAATATTAGCAATGTACAATTATGTGCTAAAGTATTCAATAGTAGTGTTGACAAATAATTGTACCAATGTAGATTATTTTAATGAATTGTTTATTATTTAAATATAATTAACATAAGATTTAAACTGCGTTTAACTTATATTTAATTAGTTTATTGTGTGGATGATTAGGTGGATATGACCCGCACCTGAACCAAGTGGTGATCTGTCAGAATCGTATCTGGAATAAGGGTATAATCCGTGGTATTCTGTCGCATGAATTCCTCCATATGTTCGACTACTGTAGGGCTAAGTTTGACTTCA